CAGGGCCCCTCCGCCCGCCGCCCTCAAGTGTGTTTTTTAACGTTGGGTAGAAATTGCCTTGCATGTTTGTTCAGACTCCTGGCATGAATTCCAAGTTGTCCTTTGAAATGATATGAGTGTATCTTCCCACAAGTAGTGCTGGAGAGTGGAGAGTGGAGGCCTGACCTTCTCTAGGTGTGTTCTTACTATGGGCATCTCAAGTTGTATTCTTTTTTTTTTTTTTTTTTTTTTTTGAGAGAGACATTTTTGTTAAAGAGTGCAAATGTTTGCCAGAGACATAAAGAGAGAGAAAGTGAGAAACCACCCCTGGAGGGATGGCCACACCTCAGTCCCTTCTCGGGATTTGGGCACACATGCACAGGGGCCCAGCTTGAGTTTCAAGCCGCCTGGTCTGGGTCTCAACCGCAGTCGTCCATGTGGGAGTCTAGCACCTTAACCACTACGTCACAGCGGCCCCTGAAGTAGTTTTCTGCTTGGGTTGTATTACTTCTGAAATTTTGAAATGAGAAGAAATAACTGCCATTTTATTCAGCTTTTATTAAGCAGTACTTTTCTTTAGAAAAATTTTGACCGAAGGTATATCGTACCTGTACTCGAAGGCATTTACATTAATCTACATTAGTGGAGTTAGGCCGTGCACGTGTGAGTAACTTGATGTACGTATTTCTAGGTCCCAGCACACAGTCTTCACTGTTGAAGGCAGTGGCATTCTTTCTGGAAAGCCTTGCTGCACATGACCTGACAGCTGCGGAGAGGTGCTTCGGCTCTGAGGTGGCTGGCAGCAGACCCAGCCCCCAGGAGGGGGACAGGTACAACTACAGCAAGTGCACCCTTGTGGTCCGCATCATGGAGTTCGCCACGACCCTGCTCAACACAGCCCCGGAGGGTTGCAAGGTGGAGTTTCTCCTGCTCTGACAATTCGGGGTCAGGATTTGGTTCTGGAAAAATTCTTCACAGGTTTCTGTTAGGGCCTAGTCCTGGTGGCAGAGGTGGTAGGGTGCCAGTCACTGGATGATATGGAGAGGGAAGGCCATGTCTTCAACTTTTGGGGTGCCCTGGCCACACTGATCCTGCCTGGGAGATGATCGTGGTGTGGCAGGGATTTGCTTGGGGCCCCTGTGCGTGTCTCTCACAAAAAGAAATATGAGAGTTCTTCAAGAGGTTCATAGAAAGTGCACATTAAGAACCTTTGCATGGGCCAGCCATCTGGTGCAGTGATGAGGACGGCCAGGCAGGACAGCTGGGCCCATCTTGTGCAGTGACCAGGATGGCCCGGGCAGGACAGCTGGGCCCATCTGGTGCAGTGACCAGGATGACTGGACCCATCTGGTGCTTTTGAGTCCTGGGCCCAGCAGCCTGAAAGACACTGGGCGTATGTGCATGTCTGACCAACATCCTGAGAGGAGGATGGAGAAGAAGGGATTGTGGCATGGTCATCCTGAGGGGGATGCTTCCTCACTCTCTCTTCCTTTCTTTCTGAAGAGCACGTGCCCTAGAGCAAAACAACAAGAAAAGTACATGAATTTCAAAATTTTTTGCACCAAAATGAAGTCTTTTTATCCCTTATTTCTTTTTCATGAGCGTAGGAGCGAAGGGAGAAACAGACAAGACCCCTGACAGGTCCTGACACCATAATCCAGCACTTTCCCTGGGGGTCAGCCTCACAGTGTGTCAGGTTGTCTTGCTGCGCGACGCTCCAGGGCCATGAGCGTGCATCGTAACCCCACGTTTCCAGTCTTTGAATTCCCGTTAGTAAAACAGTCCGTGTTAGAAGTGGTTTTAGTGGGACCGGCCGATGGCGTAATGGTTACGTCACTGGACTCCCATGTAGTTGGCCGCAATTCAAGTTCCGGACCCGGTGGCTTCAAACTCATGCCGGGCACACGTGCATGCTTGCCCAAATCCTGAGAAGTGACTGTAGGAGAAGGGATTGAGGTGTGGCCATCCCCTGGGAGTGATTTCTCACCAAAAGAAAAAAAAAGAGGAAGAAGAAGAAGGAATGGTTTTAGTTTTTCTTTTCTTCTTGTTTTTATTAGAGAGATTTTTGCTATAGGCTGTGTGCTCACTGGAGAGAGAGAGAGAGAGACAGGAAGTGAGAAATCACCCCTTATGGGGGATGGCCACACCGCAGTCCCTTCTCCATTCTCTTCTCAGGATTTCGGGCATGTGTGCACACATGGCCAGTGTGCGTTTCAAGCCTCCGGGTCTAGGACTTGAACCATCATCAATTACGTGAGAGTCCAGCAACATAACCATTACCCCATCCACTGGTTCTGGTTTTAGTTTTTCTAGTGCTTTCCATTGCCTACAGTTATCTACTTTATTTATTTTACTGGTTAAATACAAATTGTATCTATTTATGGTGTATATATATATTTTTTTTTAAGAGTTTTTGTTTGTTTTGGAGAGGTTTTTGCTAAAGGGCACGTGCACGCATCAGAAAGACAGAGACAGAGACAACAAGAAATCACCCCCTAGAGGGGATGGCCATGCCGCAATTCCTTCTCCATTCTTGTCTCAGTATCCTGGCACATGCCTGGCCTGAGTTTAAGCCACTAGGTCTGGGACTTGAACCACAGTCGACTACATGGAAGTCCAGCAACATAGCCATTATGCCATCTGCTGGACCCTAAAAGTTATTTTATTTATTCGTTTATTTGTTTGTTTATTTATTTATTTATTTAGTTTAATTTGACCAGAGAAGGACAGAGTGAGAGAGGGAGAGAGAAAGCTAGAAAGCCAGGCACCAGGTCCAGGACTCAAACCGCAGTCAGACATGTGGGAGTCCAGCACCCTTAACCACCATGCCATCTGCCAGCCCCTATTTATGATGTATATGTTTTGATATATGCATATATAGTAGAACAGCTAAATCAAGCTAATTAACATCTGTTAATTCAAATAGATAACATTTAAAATCTCTTGGTAATTTGTAAATATATGATACACTTTTTTTTTGAGAGGTTTTTGCTATAGGGCACGTGCGCTCGCCAGCCAGACAGAGAGAGACATAGAGAAGGAAAGCAAGAAATCACCCCCCAGGGGGGATGGTCACGCCACACTCCCTTCTCCTCCATTGTCCTCTCGGGATCTTGGGCACGCACGCACACATGCCCGGCATGAGTTCTAAGCCACTGGGTCCTGGACGCGAACTGTGGTCGACTACGTGGGAGTCCAACGACATAGCCATTATGCTAACTGCTGGTCCCCAATATATGATACACTTTTTAAACTATACTTACTATGATGTACAATCTGTATTTTTAAATTTTTTTTCTAATTTGCCAGAGAGCACATGTACTTGCTGGAGAGACAGAGGGAGAGCTTGCACCTCCATGTGGCATGGTCACACCATTATCTTGTCTCCATTTCTCTCTTTTGGGGATTTTGGGCTCACATACAGCTGCACCTGGCATTGTTTTAAGTCAGTGGGTCCAGGACTTGAACCTGGCTTTGTGGAATTCAGGTGCTCTAACCTCCATGTCACTGGGGACCCTACAATCTATTCTTCATGATAATAACGTATTATATTCCTTCAGATTTTCGTTGTGTGAATAAGATACAAAATAATTTTTTAATCACTTTATTGAACAAACATCTGCCTTGGGACTTGCTGGTGGTATGGTGGTTAAGGTGCTGGATTCCCACATGGCTGACCATGGTTTGAAGTCCCAGACCCAATGGCTTAAAACTCACGCTGGGCATGTGTGCGTGCATGCCCAAGATCCTGAGAGGAGAATGGAGGAGAAGGGATTGCGGCATGGCCATCCCTGGGAAGTGGTTTCTCAGTTTTTCTCTGTCTCTGGTGAGCACATGTGCCCTATGGCAAAAACTTGAATAACAAGAACAACAAAACAGTCTACCCTAGGAAACACTCAGTAGCAATGCTTGTAAAGATACCTACCAGACTTGCTGGGTAAACCAACTCCCCAGTCTACCCAGCGAGTGTATGCCAAGTGCCTGCTCAGTGCCAGACTCATTCCAAGACCCCAGCAGCCACAGGGCACTGAACCCACCTGCTGTCGCTTGTGTAAGTGAAGTTTCAGAGGAACGTGACTGTGCTACCCAGGGTTGCTTTTGCTCTCTTGGGGGTAGCAGTGGCAGCAGGGACTGTGGCCCCAGAGCCTGAGTATTTACTACCCAGTGCTTTGCAGAGGATGATTGCCAGCCTCTGCCCTAATGAGGCAAAAATTCCCGGCCTTATGGGCCTGACAGGCTGGGAAAGTACGCGTGCTGTCTGGGAGAAGTATCCTGATCCAGCCTGCCTTCCACAGCTCCTTGAGAGAGATCTATGTAACACGCACCTCGTGAAGCTCTTGGTGAAGACGCTGTGCGAGCCCATGAGTGTGGGTTTCAATGTTGGTGACGTCCAGGTTATGGATCATCTTCCCAGCGTTTGTGTGAACCTGATGAGAGCACTCATGAAGTCCCCGTACAGGGACATCCTGGAGGTTCACCTGAAGGAAAGAATGACAACACAGAGGTGGGCACTCGGGTTTCGCTTGGGCCGCCGCCTCGTTGTATGTACGGATTGGCAGCCATGGCTGCAGTCGTCCTGCCCTAAGGGAAAGGGTTTCTGGGGAGGGGTTGTTCGGAGATTTTGTCCTTGGCAAGGACCTTCTCTGCCCTGGGATAAGCAGTTTTGGGTTGGTTCGTACCAGGATGGATTGCCATGGTGAGAGTAGCACACGAGCCTGGTCTGGCATTGCCTTCCAGGCCGGGGTTAATGGGTGTGAGTGGCCGATTACTAAATCCGTAATAGGGCAACGCTGTCCCTGCGCGTCTGGTCACTGAGCGAGGGCAGAGCTCACCTGGTCTTCTCTGGTCTTTCTCACGCCCAGGCTGGAGGAACTCTGTGCCGTCGATGTGTACGACCCTGACGCACAGGCGGACAGGATCCAGCTGGCCCCCATCGTGGCGGCGTGTAAGCAGCTGCACAGAGCGGGGGTGCTGCCTGTCGTACTGCCAGCCCAGGTAACTGCCAGGTGGTCGCTGTGTTTCTCCTAGTTTGATTGCTACAGTGAATCTGTTTATCTGTATTCTTTGGTAATACATATCCTTTATGATAGACTAAGCTGAAATGGGAGTTATGTAAATACTTAGTGTGGTCATGAATGTATTATCTGGAATACAAACATGAGCATAATACAGACATGTGTAAATGTGAAATAGAGCACATCTGCATATCTCCAGATCTGCCTTCTGAAAAGCCGTAGGAGCTAACTGCAGTTAGGCCTTTATGGCAAGGCAACATAAATGAAAAATAAAGCACAGGAAGCCAAGTTGAGTTAACAGTTCCTCAGAATTAGGAGTTGTCCTAGTCAGCTGTCATTGCGTATTTTAACTAGTGAGAGAGTGAAATCGTGTTTTCCATAAACGCCTTTTGCGAGGCACTCCAGCGTCGATTTTGTTTCAGTCTGCAGATCAGCCTCATCCCTTAGGCAGCAGGCTCCTTTCTCTGGTTTACGACGGCATCCCACCTGGAGGTGAAAGGAAGAGCCTCCCCTCGCTAGATCCCAGCTGTAAGCGCTTTGCCAGTGGACTCCTGGAGTTGGCCTTTGCTTTTGGAGGACTGGTAGGAAAAATAGCTGTGCCGTGTATCCTCGGGATAGACACGTCACCGCGACCCACCCCAGCCCCAGCCGCGTGTTCCCACTGGACGTGTGCGCCCATGCCCGTGATCACCAGTGTGCTCAGGGAGGCCCGAGGACATGAACTGTGTACCTTCACCACGTGGGTCCAGCCACACCACTCTGGTGCCACTGCCTGACTCACCACCTTTTTTTTTTTTTTCCTTTTCTTTTTTTTAAGGAGATTTTTGCCATAGGGTGCATATGCTCGGTGGAGACAGGCAATGAGAGGGAAAGTTAAGAAGTCACCCCCGGGGGCGGGGGGGATTGGCCATGCCACAGTTCCTTCTCCATTCTCCTGGGATCTTGGTCATGCACGCACGCACACACGCCCAGCCTAATTTTCAAGCCACTAGGTCAGAGACTTAAACGCGGTAGACCTTGTGGGCATCCAGTGCTGGAACTACCATGACACCTGGCCTCGCATTTTTCTGAAATTGAGGTTTTGTCCGTACTACTTTATTGACAGAAGTACTTAGGCAGAGGAGGTTTGGTGATGTAATGCTGACTTGTGCTCACACCTGGTCTCTCCTCTGTCCTTGGTGGTATTTCAGATGGACCCTTAGGGGCGGGGGCAGGACCTAAGAATGATTCCAGAGCACATAGAAAGTGACTTCAGGGTGCTCAGAGCTGTGGGCGGCTGGTCCCAGGGGGCTCTGCCGTTGCCGAGACCTGCAGCTGGCCCTGTGTGGTTCACTCTTTCATCTTCCCTTCTCCCAGAGCCAGAGGCCTGCCCTTTGCCCTTTTGTCTTTCTCAACCTAGACAATTATGTGTATGTGTAAGTCACGTGAAGACACTTGCCCTTACTAGATTCTCTCTCAAAGCAAAAAGGTGGAGCTGGGAAGATTTCTTTCCCAAAAGGAATCTGAGAAATTGGGGCTCATTTAAATGTATAAAATTTAACCTTGAACCCAGCTTCACATAGCAGGCGCTTTCTAGACCTTCCCCTATGGGTCTTTGGATGGCAGACGAATGCCCCACCCTGGCACTCCTGCTTCTTCTTCACAGTGCGGCCGCCTCGTGAGTCTTCTCCTGAGCCCAGAGTTGCTCTCTGTGCCGTCCTCAGGCAGCTCTCTGAGAAGTGCCGTCAGCATTCCCCATGGAGAGTATTTCTATAGCTTGTTCTCAGACACCATCAACACGGAATTGTTGAGAAATCTCGATCTTGCTGTATCGGAGCTTATGAAGTCATCAGTGGACAATCCCAGAATGGTAATGCATCTCCCTCGAAGTATGTTCTCTTGTATACTGTTTATTAAAGGGTCATCATAGTTCTGAAATAACTCATTAAAATCAAGCAAGATCTCTCTCTCTCGGAAGGTCAAAAGCTCTTGCTTACATTTCAGAGCAGAATCAAAGAAGACAAAGCACAGCTTTTATCAGTAGTTAGTGAACGTCATTGGGTGTTGAAACAGATACGCTTTCCCCTCCTTCATTCCCCCAAGTCTCTAGGCCTAGAATTTTAAACAAATACACACATGGCGTAGTAACTTCTGTCAGGACGTGGTACTGGAGCTGCAGGCCCAGCCTGAGCCCAGGCTGTCAAGTCTGCCCACCACCCACAGTACCCTCACGTCCCAGGGCCCCTCTGCTCAGCTCCGGGCCAGCACTTCTGCGGGTTTCTGCTGTGCTCTCTTCCCCCTCACGTGGGATCTTTGGTGATCACTGTTTACAATCTGTCAGGTTGTTGGGAAAGTCGCCGTGTATCTTTCTACGTTTTTCTACACAGAAATGCAACCCAATAAATGGCTTTAGTTTCCTTGACTTCTGGGCTTTTGGGATTTAACCTGCTCTGTAGAGGTAGAAATTGTTAGCTGTTGTTATGATCCTTCGAAGTCATCTTGAAAAATGTTATATCATTATCAAACAGGACCACTGAATATGAATCTAGCCAACATTAGGATGTCACTCGATTGGAAGGCAGTGGTGGGACAGGAAATGTGCACGAGTGCATGCACAGGAGTGTGCTTGTGGGGCGCTGGTGACAGACGGGCTGGTTCCTCTTCCCAGTGCAGTCCGTTGAGAATGCCCCAGCCCGAGAACCAGGAGGAGCAGGACTCGTGTGACGGTGTGATGAAACCGTCCAGCACTTCTTGTAGGGAAGTGTGGACACGATTGGGAGTGGATAAACACCTTTTATAGAAATAGCATCTTTATTTTCTAAGAATAAGTATAAAATAAAGTGAGGTAAATTTTTTATCTGTCATTGTTGACATTAATGAGTTGCTTCTGTCCCTGTAATGTATCTTTCAGGTTAGTGCCGTTTTGAATGGCATGTTAGACCAGAGCTTCCGGGACCGAGCTAGTCAGCGACAGCAAGGGGGGAAGCTTGCTACTGCCATTCTGCAGAATTGGAGGCATTGTGACCCATGGGGAGCCAGTGATGCTGCTCCTGAAAGCAAAACAGCAGTGCTGGCTTTACTGGCAAAAATTTTACAGGTATTTTGAGAAATCTTTGAAAATGCAGTCATGTTTATTGTTTTGAACTCTGCACAGGCGTATCCTCAACATTTTGATAGAAGTTATTTCCAAAGCTCATTACTTTGGTAAATAAAAAGGATATTAGAGTGATAATTGCTAATTACTCTTAACATTTTTCATTATTTTACATCATTATTTATGCTAATTTCTTATATATTTTCATTTTAATGTGCACTTCTATGCATTGTCTTAAAAGATAGTATTACTGTATTTTATAATAAGATTGTTAGAATATTTATGCAGCCCAAGAACAGACTTAGTTTATTTCTGAAATTTAAGCATTTGAGGATGTGTTAAGGGAAATAGAGGTGTAATATAAAAATGTCACGTTTTTATTCCCCCTCCTTTAGATTGACTCGTCTGTATCATTTAATACGAAACACAGCTCATTCCCAGAAGTATTCACAACGTACACTGGTCTACTTGCTGATTCCAAGTTGGGCCTACATTTAAAGGTAAATGGTTAGGGACTAACAGATGACATGATGGTTACGTTGCTGGACCTCCCACGTAGTTGACTGTGGTTTGAGTCCCGGACCTCGTGGCTTAAACTCACACTAGGTGTGTACTCACACTAGGTGTGTGTACGTGTGTGCCCAAGATTCTGAGAGGGTAATGGAGGAGAAGGGATTTCGGTGTGGTCATCCCGCCTGTGACGTGATTTCTCACTTTCTGTCTCTTTGTCTCTCTGGAGAGTTCACATGCCCTATAGCAAAAAATCTCTGAAAAGTAAAAAAGAAAAAAAAGGTAAATGGTTAAAACAGATATTTTTTCCAGTTATATTCACTTTTATTTTCCCATTTTTATATCTGTGTATTTGTGGGGTTTTTTTAATGGAAAATTTCAAACATGATGAGAAGTAGACGATAGCACAGTTGGCCCTCACGTACCCCCTTGATAACTGGCCTGCAGGCGTGTTCCACTGTTCCTGGAAGGAAGCCTACGCTTCAGCTTACTGTTCTGCATGGGCTGCTTCACGACTTCCCTTTTCAGATGAGAACAATTTTTTTTTTTAAGTAGAACCAGAGTGTTCATAATTGAACTAATTGAACTAATTTTTTGCATCTAGATGATTTAAATATGTTTTTTGAATTTCTATATTAACTTTAAACTGTTTCTCAATTATTTTTCTATTAGAAATAATAGGAAGTCTCTGATTCTTTAGCATCAATAGTAAACACTGTAATTTGAAGATAGTTTTTTTTTTATGAGAGCACATGTCCAGGAGCGTGTACAGCCCCTCTGCCCAGCTTCCAGTCGGAGGGCCACAGGGGCAGGCCACTGCTCTTGGCCTGTTGAGGTTGGGCTGGGAATCAAATGAGGGCCTCCCATGTGACCCCAGTGACCTCGCGCCACCATTGCTGGGCCTCCAGGTTGCTAATTTTAAAGTATTAACAATAGTAGACTTTAAGTGCTGATAAAATATGGTCTTAATGAAAGGGACTATTTTTATTGGATAAACTGGGTAATTCTTTGGAGCTTTCAACTCTATATGAGTCTCCGTTTCCCATTTTTCCATGTGAGAACGTCGTGGAATTCATCTGTCATTCCAGGGATGTGGGTATCCACACTTGTTTCCTGTGAAGCTCAGCATGAAGTTCTGCAGCACTAGGTGTGTACTCACACTAGGTGTGTGTACGTGTGTGCCCAAGATTCTGAGAGGGTAATGGAGGAGAAGGGATTTCGGTGTGGTCATCCCGCCTGTGACGTGATTTCTCACTTTCTGTCTCTTTGTCTCTCTGGAGAGTTCACATGCCCTATAGCAAAAAATCTCTGAAAAGTAAAAAAGAAAAAAAAGGTAAATGGTTAAAACAGATATTTTTTCCAGTTATATTCACTTTTATTTTCCCATTTTTATATCTGTGTATTTGTGGGGTTTTTTTAATGGAAAATTTCAAACATGATGAGAAGTAGACGATAGCACAGTTGGCCCTCACGTACCCCCTTGATAACTGGCCTGCAGGCGTGTTCCACTGTTCCTGGAAGGAAGCCTACGCTTCAGCTTACTGTTCTGCATGGGCTGCTTCACGACTTCCCTTTTCAGATGAGAACAATTTTTTTTTTTAAGTAGAACCAGAGTGTTCATAATTGAACTAATTGAACTAATTTTTTGCATCTAGATGATTTAAATATGTTTTTTGAATTTCTATATTAACTTTAAACTGTTTCTCAATTATTTTTCTATTAGAAATAATAGGAAGTCTCTGATTCTTTAGCATCAATAGTAAACACTGTAATTTGAAGATAGTTTTTTTTTTATGAGAGCACATGTCCAGGAGCGTGTACAGCCCCTCTGCCCAGCTTCCAGTCGGAGGGCCACAGGGGCAGGCCACTGCTCTTGGCCTGTTGAGGTTGGGCTGGGAATCAAATGAGGGCCTCCCATGTGACCCCAGTGACCTCGCGCCACCATTGCTGGGCCTCCAGGTTGCTAATTTTAAAGTATTAACAATAGTAGACTTTAAGTGCTGATAAAATATGGTCTTAATGAAAGGGACTATTTTTATTGGATAAACTGGGTAATTCTTTGGAGCTTTCAACTCTATATGAGTCTCCGTTTCCCATTTTTCCATGTGAGAACGTCGTGGAATTCATCTGTCATTCCAGGGATGTGGGTATCCACACTTGTTTCCTGTGAAGCTCAGCATGAAGTTCTGCAGTGGGTGGTTGTGACTTGTCCTGTAGATTACTCGCAGTGTTTTTCCACTCAACACCTGCATGGTATACTCTCTGTAGGTCTTATTTGCAGAGGGAGAGGACATAAACAGAGTCCACGTACATTCCCTCTGTATTCATGTGAGTGTAGCCCTGCTCACCTGAATGACCTATAGACTTAAAGCTGAGGACAGCAACTGCATTGACATCGGTTCTTAGCATAATCTAGAGGTTGCTCTGAAGGCATTCACTCAATGCCCCTAGTGCTTTCCTTGCAAGGTCTGTAGGAAGCTGTGATGTGGTTTATCCTGGAGCTTCTGCAGTCAGTACAATCTCACATGTCTGCCTTGCTGTGCAGGGTCAAGCCGTGGCCCTTCTCCCATTCTTCACCAACCTCACTGGGGACCGCCTGGACGACCTTAAGAGTGTTCTTGAAAAGCTCATCATTTCTAATTTCCCTATGAAGTCTGACGAGTTTCCCCCAGGAACTCTGCAATACAATAATTATGTGGACTGCATGAAAAAGGTTGGTTTTGGTAATATCAAGTAAAATGAAGACTGCTATTTTGTTGTCATCTTTGTATTTCTTGATGTAAACAAGGGAGTGAAAGATCCAAAATTTGAGAAGTGCACTGACTTGAAGTGTTCAGTCTAGTTCCTTAGGAAAACTGGCTGTCTACAGAGGCGGTACATTCTGTCTGGATCCTTTGGAATTTTCTGTCCCCATTTTACAGTTGTGAACTGTTTAGTTCTCAAAAACGGAACATATAACGTGTGTTAGTTATGAACAGTAGTACCAAAAACTACTAAGAAACAGGGTTTTACCACTGTGTTTCAATGTCTAAAATTTCAGAGTAGTGATTATTTGAGAAGCATTCAATGTTTATCATTGAAACTATTAATACAGCTGAAGATCTGCCAGGTCCCAGTGGCTGATGCTTGTATGAGTCCAGGTTGGCCACCGGGGAAGCTCTCGTCTCCTGCCGCCTTGGCTCAGTTGGTTTCTTTCTTGTCCAGTGAGGCTGCTCCACCTCCACCATCCCGTTTCCCTCCAGCCAGCAGCAAGAGGGTGGCGGCAGAGCTCCGCTCCTCCGTGCTGAGATACTGTTCTCCGCATGCAGCTATAGGCAGGGCTGCGAGTGTTGTGCTCTCCCTGGGCACCTGCTGCTCAGCTGAAACAAGGGAGTCCGCCGCTAAAGAGGAGATCAGCGAGTGACCGTGGGGTGTGCCACCCACGTGTACTGAGCATGCTGGCCAATGTCCAAATCCTCCCGAACGGTAGACATGGCCTTTCTTGTTAAGGAGTTTATTGTAGAGCAAGGAAGAAGCGTAGAGAAACATGTTTAAACACTGGTAGATGCTGGGGTAAAGTCACACGTGCAGTGTAAGGGCACCATGTGTGCTTTCCAGCTCTCTACTTTCCATCCCTCAGCTCTCCTGAATAGGGGGGTGTTTGTCCTCCCTCAGGAGTGGCTGGGTTTCCTCTCCTCCTGTGGGCCTGGGTTGCACTTGACAATGTTCTTCTAGGAAGAGC